TGCCAGCTGCACCCATGGGAGCACGGGACCGCCCGGCCCGGCACAGGGACTCCTGGCTGTTGTCACCTTCGGACCGAACACACAAGGGCAGCAGTCTCCCTCCCAGCCTGAGGGAATCGGGTCAAAGAGCCAATCTCTGGGTTTGGGATGCGGCTGGGGTGGGGCAGTTCCTGGTGGGCTCACTGAGGAGGAGCGCACGACCACCAGGCACACCCCGCTTTCCCTGCAGCCCTCTGTCCCCTGCATCGGCAGCACCCTTCCCTCCCTCTCAACACAAGAAACAACTGTGCATGAGGAGGCTCAGCCAGGGGACGTTTAATCCCGGGGAGCTGGGCTCTATCAGGAGGGAGCTGAGGAGGACAGTGACCCGGTCCTCCATCCCTGCATCTGAGCAGAGGCCGGTCCACAGGACAGACAGCACCCATGTGGCCTCCTGCTGCCCACCCCGTCACGCCACCAACACCGCCCACAGACCTTGGTCAGCTGGGCCCTCAGGGCAACAGCCCCGCTCGCATCTGGAAGGCCAGGCCGTCCCCTCGGGTGGCTTGCTAGGGGAGAGAGCACACAGGAGGGGGCGTGTCACAAACAGAGCTGAGGCTGAGCCCTGGGCGGAAGGGGCGACACCCACCTTGTTGATCTCCCGGTGCCGTTCCTTGGTTACGATTTCCTCTAAGACCTCGCCATCTCCCTTAATGAGCCTGGGGGCGGAGGGGGGCAGGCTGAGCCTCTGACCCAGAGCAACAGAACAACAAGCCCCACCCCTCCGTCTCTCCCACCCTCGGGGCAGGGATAAAGGTGGCCGGGTGGGCTCTGCCATCGGATCAGCGGATCAGCCAAGAGTGGCTCTCCGAGGACCCTCCTGGAGGCCCTTTCAGCCCCTGCAGCTGCTTGGGGGCGGGGGGGAGGGGGGGGGGATAGCCTCAGGAGTCCAGCAACACGTGACTTTCCCATCCTCGGCCTTTTCATAGCAGCAGCCACCCCTCCTCCTGCAAGTGCGGGCGTCGTGCCCACTCCCCACCTGGTGCGGCCGGTCTCGGGGTCCACCACCTTGCGGATGACGCTCTGCCGCGCGTCCCACTCCTCCCTGGTCATGGGCTTCATGGCCTGGATGCGCGATTTCTGCTCATCCGTCAGCACTGGGAGGGGAGACGGCAGGGAGGTGGGGGTCGGGCCGCAGGGCGGGGACCCTCCCGGTCCCGCACAGCCCGCAGCGCGGTACCTGGGCCGTCCTCCTCCTCGCCCGCAGGTCGGTGCCACTGGTCCAGCGAGGGGCCTGGCAGCGCCTCAGGCGGCCGCGCCTCCGCCTTCTCCTTGCCTTTCTTCTTCAGCTTCTTCCTCCTCCTCTTCTTCTTCTTCTTCCTCTTCTTGTCCTTGTACTTCCCCGACTTCTTCCGGCCGTGGCTGGAGGAAGAGGAGGACGACGAGGAGGACGAGGAGCTGGAAGAACTGGAAGAGGAGGAGGAGGAGCTGGAACGCCGTCTCCTCCGGGCCTGGTGTTTGCTTCTCTCTGTGATGCGGGGAGAAGGTGAGGCTGGGAGGCCGGGAGGGGAGTCAACCTCCCCCCTCGCTCTGGACAGAAGAGCGAGGCCTCCTGCAGGGACCAGCGGCTGACCAGGCGCAGGGCGGCCAGACCCCCAGCTCAGGCCCCGCTGCACGGACAGCAGGCCTCCGCGCGCGCACGCAGCGATGCACGCTCAAGGGGCCGGCCCTGCCCCTGGGCCCGGGGCGTCTATCAGTCCCGACGCCCACGCTGTGCTCTGCACCCCTCTGACCGCCGACCCCCGCGATTGCCCTGCAACCGTCCGCAGGAAGCCCGCCCAGCTGACCTTCCCACTCCCCGCGGCCTCACCCTCCGCCCCCGAGGAGGTGGTGCTGGCCTTGCGGCCGTGGGACCTAGAAGCCGAACAGCTCCCCCGGGCGTCCTTGCTGCTCTTCTTCCTTCTCTTTTCCGACCCTCGGCCCCGCGAGCGGCTGCGACTCCTCGAGCGCTGGCGAGAGCCGACGGGAGCCATAGCGCCGCGCTCTGCAGACGGGGAGGCGCGGTCAATCGGAGGCTCTCAGCCCGCAGACTGGGCGCCCAGGTCCTCGGGGCCCCTCCCCGATTCCCGCCCCGGGGCAGGGATGGAAGCCACCCGCAGCCACCTCACGATCCTCAACCACCCACTACCGCTGGGGACGCCGGGTCAGCCGCCGCGGCCCCTTTAAGGGCCCGCCCCCGCCGGGAGGCTCCACGCCTGCGCAGGCGGCTCCGGCGTCCCTTAAGGAAGGTCCCCGGGGTGGCCCGTTCCCTCCTCAATTGACCACCAGGCCCAGCCCCCGCACCACGCGCTCGTGTGAGGAAGCGGTGGCGGCGAGGTGACTTCCGGCCGGGTTGGTGCTCCGAGAGGCCGTCCGGCTGCGAAGCGGGGTATGTCGCCTTTAGTTCCGCCTGTGGGGCGTCTCGGGAAACGGGAGTCTGGCGCGCCCAGCTCCGTTTCAGAGGAGAGCCGGGGTCCAGGTTTCACCCCCAGGCCGGTGCGAGGCCGTGTCTGCTCCCGCAGCTCCCGGCGGAGAGACGTGCTCTGCGGCCTGGCGCCACTCCCCGAGCTCGCAGGCCCTTTGCTGCAGTCGTGCCCTCTCCCAAGATTGCCCTTCCAGGGGCCCCCGCAGAGATAGAGACCCCCCCCTGCGCTCGCTTCCCAACCTGGGTTGCCTGCCCGCCTGTCCACTCCCATCAGGCCGTGAGCTCCAGGGCTGAGACGCCCTGGTCTTTCTCCAACGACCCCATGTGGAGAGGGTCAACTCAGGGCCAGAGATCATATCAGTGAATGAGGAAGGGACCCCTCTGAGGGGTGCACGTCTGGTGTCTCCAGACCTTCCCACCTTCCCAGGGAAGCCAGAACTCAGGATTTCCATATGGAAATGCCTGGTTTCCAGATGTGCCGCCCGTGTGCACAGCTGCACTCCTCACCCAATGTGGGGGCCAACCCTTCAATAACGACACCAGTGAACGCAGGGGGCTGTTAAAAAGCACTTTATAAAGCTTATATATTGTTTGACTCTCACAACAGCTCTAAGACATAGGCACTTTCCAGATGAGGAAACGGAGGCACAAAGAGGTCACGGGGCTTACCAGTCACAGGGCTGCAAGTGGCAGAATCAGAATGTGAACCCAGACAGTCTGGCCCGGCTCTTAACCCCTCCACACCATCTACCAGGTGCTACTGGTGACCCACCCAAATCCCCTTAATAGAGGGCACTCACCCCAGCTGTCAGCCAGATGCTGACAGCTACACCTGTGCTGGAGTCGGACATCTGGGAACTTATTCACACACATCCCCTCCCCCCGCCATGCCCTCTCCCAGCACACCCTGTAGCCAATCACCGATGCTGGGGCAAACTGGTGGATTCACACTCCAGAGCTCCCAGGGGATTGGCCTGAGTTTAGATGCAGCTGAACCTGCCCCTCGGCCCAGCTCCTTCCTGCCTTGTCCTGCTTCGTGGACTCCCTCCTCCATCGATAAGCAGGAACCCCCATCGCCGGTTCTAAGCCAGCCCATCTGCAGAAAGAAGGACCCAGAGCCTGCTTGTCCTTTTGAACCAAGAAGTGCCAAGGGCTACGGGGACTTTATTTCTGCCCTGCCCCACCCAAGCCGAGGTGGCAGAGCCCTCTGCCGTCACGCCACCCCCGACACAGGTCCAACCAGGCTCAAGTCATCACACACAGGTCCACTGTGGTGGGCTCCTCCCGGGTGAAGCCGTCACCGAAGCCCTCGTCGTCCACCAGGTCGGGCTTGCGGCAGCACATGGGGCAGAGGCGGTTGCGCACAGCAGAGGCCCGGAGCCAGACAATGAGGTTCCATCGCTCGCCCGTACCCAGGGGCCGGGCCCCGTGCAGCTGGCCGCCCCGATGCAGCACACCCTGGCCCACCACATGCTCCACCTCCAGGGGGCTGGCCAGGGCTGAAGGCGCCTGCAGACAGCTGGGGTCAGGCCTGGGCACTCGCAACTACCCCAGGCCCTGCCCCGGGGGTCACACACACTCACCTGGAAGAGGCCCCCGAAGTATAGGGCGCCCCCGGTGAAGGCCTTGCCCAGGGACACGTTGATGGTCAGCTCGGCGTTGTCATAGTGGCAGCCCAACTCCCGGTCCTGGCCGGGTGCATACTTGACCACGAAGGCTCGGTGGCTGTCGAGCCAGCCTCCGCCACAGTCTGGGTAAAGGAGGGCCATCAGTGGCTGGAGGAAGCGCTCCCGCAGCGGCGTCACCAGCGGCTCATCCAGGCCCAGCTCATGGAGCAGCACCTGGAAGGGGGGTTCCCATGAGGCCCCGAGATGGGGAGGGATCAGCCGGGAAGCTGGTGGGGCCCCACCCTGGGTCCCTGGGGTGACCCTTGACTTGTTTAACTTCATAATCCTGCGATTTTCATTTTACAGACGGAGAGACCAAGGCACAGAGAGGGCTACACAGCTGGTCCATAGCACTGCAGGTCAGTCTCCCCAGACCCATGTGTCCCTGCCTCAGCCCGCCTGGCAGAGCCGTACCCACCCCATAGTTGTTCATGGTGTTGGGTCTTCCCTTGGGCATGTCCGACCGCTCGAAGTGCTCCAGCTCCTCCAGCAGTGCCTGGCAGAACGGCGCCGTGAACACCGGCAGCCGGTAGATCCGCTTCTCCTCTGCAGGGAGGACAGTCTGTCGGGCAGGAGCTTCGGGATGCGTTTCAATCTCCCCAAGTTGTATGAGCCTGGGCATGCCTTTTCACTTCCCCAGCCTCAGTTTCCTCATCTGTATAATGGGGATAACTCGGGCACTCTACACCCCTCTCGGGGCCATTATGAGGATTAAATGATGCATGGTATGCACAGCCCGGGGGGGAGGGAGTTCTGTTCTCCAATTCACACCCCTCCTCCCCCCGCCACACCCCCTGCCACACACACTCATCCCTGGAGCCCCTCATCCTGCTTCCAGGGGTGCCATGGTCTAGCCTCCAGACTCAGATGTGAGTTCTGATGAGGCGCTGAGATGGGGAGGGATTAGCCCAAGGACACCCAGCAGGCCGGCCACAGAGCCAAGCCAGGACACAGAGCCTGCTCGGGCTCTCTCTGCACCCCTCCCCCCAGTGAACCGCCAAAGTCTGCACCCCAACTCAGAGGTTTCTTGGAGTTTCTGTTCCCCATAAGGAAGGCTGAGGGGGGCTGTTTTGTAGGGCGTGGTGGGGAGAGGCCTGGCTCAGAATGGAAATGGGGACATTCTGGGCAGACACGCACGTTTGGGCCAACCCACAAGCAGCCCCAGCCCCACCCAAACAGCCTCCTTACAATTTCAGCTGCTCCGGAGTAGATGGCAATGAGTCCCCTCCCAGCCTGGAAGGGAGTCTCATTCTACCTTGTGCCCCCACAGGATGCAGGTGCCCGGAGGGGCGTGGCTTTTACCTCTGTCCCCCCACCGTATCCCCCAGACCCAGGATAACAGTAACCGTAAGACCCGGAGAGTTCTGGACACGTACCACGCTCAAGCCTCTAAGCGCATTACCTCTCTCTCACCCGATCATCATGGCACCTTTCGAGATGGTGGTATTATCGTTCCCATTTCACAAATGAAGAAACCAAGACAGACAGGTTAAGACTCCCTGGCCTAGGACTTCTGCTGGGTTTAGCCAGGGGGAGGCCCCAGCAGGAGGTGGAGGGCAGAAAGAGAGATGGGGCATTTTGGAGTCTGGCGGGGCTGTGTGCTCCTGCCGGTTGTCTGGCAGCCCCTCCCACAGCTCCAGGTCCCTGCAGCTTCAAGAAACTTCATCTTGCCCACTCCTTCCGGTCCAGAGACAGGAACGCTCCCCTCTATTGCTGGCCCTGCTAGGGTCCTTCACCTCCCTTGCTGATCCTTTTAGCTCAGCCCACACTGTCTCCACTATCCCTTCCTTAAGCTCTTCAGTCACCCCAGCTGGCTCATGCCTGACAAGACACTGAACAGCTGTGTCTCTTGGGTGAGTGCATGGATGGATAGAGATGCCCTGCTCCTGTGCCTTCCAGCCCCTGCTGGTTTGGTTTTTGGAGGCACACATAATCGACAGAGGGGACCCCAGCCTCCCACCCCCTAGTCCTGCCAGGTCATGGGGCCAAGACCTCACCCGACACCGTCTCCAGCCGCTGGAGGAGGCCCTTGAGGTCTGCACCTGGCAATGCGCTGTACTCAGCTGCGGCCAGAAACTCGGGGGCCAGAGCCACATCCTGGGGGAGAGAACACACACCCACGGTGGGGCAGGCAGCCTCCCCAGCCTGGATGCCTCCTCCTCCCAGTCACCTGCCCCTGCTGGGTACCTGCAGTGAGTTGTAGATTTCAGGCCGAGCCGGGTGGTAGGAGCTGGCGATGAGGGCTTTCCTGGCAGCGGACTCCTGCCCTAGGCGCTTCCGCCGCTCCACCTCCTGCTCCAGCTGGGGTGGCACAGGGCCTGGTTACCAGGACAGGGCCTCTCATCCCCTCGAGGCCATTGTACAGATGAGGAAACTGAGGCTCAGGAAGGCCAGAGCAGGGCCCAGGCCAGGAGCCAAGTCTTCCTATGCTCCCGACTCTGATAGGGTTGATTGCGGGTGCCACGCTATTAGCTGAAGGGGACTCCTTCCAGAAGGGGGCCCACCCCACTCTGGGCTATGACAGCCCTGCGATGCCCCTCAGCCAGCTGGGGCCATGCAGGGAGAGGAACAAAGTCCCAGCAGAGGGCTCTCCTGGGAAGCTTCCCACCATTAACCCCCAGGTGAGGGAGGAGGGGTGAGATGGGGAGCAGCCCTGGTGGCAAGGGAAGCAGGGTCGGAGGAGAAATAGCAAGGAGCCTGGCAGCCCTGGCAGGACCTCAGCTCCAGGGGCTGTGAAACCTTGAGCAACGGACTCCCCTTGTTGAGTCCATTGTTTTCATCTCAAAAGAGCATGAAGTGAGGCAACTTGGCAGCCCGCCCTCTTTCTCCTTTTCTGGTGCAGTGAGTGGGCACAGGACGGGGGAAAGGAGGGTTTAAGGAGCCCTTCAGTGATCTGGGACTGGCAGGCCGGAGGCTGGGACACCCCTTCAAGCCGCCGACACAAATCTAAAATGGAAGGTCTAGGCCGGGTGGTGTGTAGGGGCGTTGGAGGGTGGTGAGTGTTACCTCTTCTAACAGCTGTTGGAAGTCCTTGGGGGTGACACAGCCTCGGCTGCGCAGGATCTAGGAACAGAAAGGTCAATGAACCCGACTACATGACCCTGGGCAAGTCACTTAACATCTCTTGAGTCTCAGTTTCCCCTCCTAAAATGGAGATGAGAGCCCGGACCGCAGGGGACCACCGTGAGGATGAAATACGACGAGCGCTAAGTCCAGAGCGGGGTTCCCTGAGCCAGGCCCTGGCCTAAGCACATATATGTTAGTTCACCCACACGACAGCCTCACTAGGGAGTTACGCTTATCCCCAGTTAAGGGGAGAAAACTGGGGCACCGAGAGGGCAAGCCACTGCTGCGGTCAGATGTGAGCACGCGGGCAAAGCCAGCGACCGCGGGGACCAGGGTTCCTCCTCCGCCAGCCCTCCCGCGCCTTCCTCTGCGGAGCCGATGGAGGCCACTCACGGGGCCGTAGTCCGCGCGCAGCTGCTGCTCGCCCCGGAAACGCACGTGCAGCCCGTAGCGCGCCACGTACAAGTTCTCGGAGCAGAAGCAGGCGCAGCGGCAGAAGCGCTGCGGGACGCCCGCCGTCGCCATGGTGAGGGGGCGCGCGCGGCCCTGCCGGCTTCCGTAGGAGCACTTCCGGGCACGCCCACTTCCGGCAGCCAAGGATCCGGTCTAAATTCCCGCGCGCAGAGAAGAACGAAGGCCCCGCCCCGCCCCCCGAAAACGGTCTGCGGTGTAGAAAGATGTTCCCGGGCCTTCCAGTGCCACCGCCTCACAATGTCCCCATCCTCGAGGCGGGGACTCGGACACCCCCCAAGATCTTTTGCCACCTCCCTTTTCTGCTCGGGGCTTTTGAATACCCAGCCAACTCCACGGGGACAGTTAAAGGCGCCCTGAGGTTCCGTCGCGTTTCCTCCAAATGCTATGAACCATCCAGTTCTGTGCGTTTGAGCTTGGGGTTTAGCATTTTTACCCGGTCCCTGTCCCCGCTCTCCCGTTGCCCCCGCTGTCTCCTAGGAGTCACCGCCGGTTGCCACAGTGTCTCCACAAAAAAACGTTCCGTCCGGCGTGACTTCCGGGGACAGTCAAGTGTGGGGAGAGTAGGGCGTGGTTTGTCCGCGGCCACACCCCGCACAAACCGGTTCCAGTTCTGCGCAGCTGCTGTGCGAGATGAGTGCTATTTCTCTTCGCGTGCAACCCAACCTGAGGGAGACCCATCGCCGCACACAGCGGGACCTCCGTCATGGTCCGCCGTGCAAGCCCCCCCACCCCCTCCCCAGGCCCAGGTCTGCAGAACTGGAGCAAGTGGCTTGGATTGGATTGCAAACCTATCACCGAGATGGGAGAACTGAGGCGCGGAGCAGGGGAGGAAGTCCCTTCCCCTGGAATTGGTACCTGACCCCCGCCCTAGCGTTTCCTCCGTGACCGCGGGATGCGGGATGCGGGATGCGGGTGGGGAGGAAGACTCTGGGCCTCAGGACTTCCGCCCAGACCCCAGATACACCGGTGACTGCAAGTGACGGCGCCTGTTGTCCCCGCTTCCTCCCCCCTGGACTTCTGGATCCCTCACCCGCCTTTCACCCCTACAGCAAACCCTTAGCTGGGTACTGTTATGTCTTCATGTGATACAGATGGGGAAACTGAGGCTCCGAAGTGCGGGGACCGGCCCCAGGTCACTCCCCAGTGAGGGACACGCATGGGGTTTGAACCCCGCAGTCTGCTCTCTGACTCCCCTGTTCACCCCCAGGGGGGGTCAGTGGTGAGGGTGAGATGCGGAGGGAATTTGAGTTTTCTCTTTGTGCTTGTTGGCATTTTCTTAACGAGTCTGCTTTCCTTTCCCCTGTTCTTACACATGTCTGCGAGCCACCGTAAATACATGTCCGTGCTAACACATATGTCCATGCTGACACATTTACACGCAACCACACATGCCATCAGCACACTCACCCCCGCGTACACACCCTCGTGAACACATTCCACATACAGTGATGGTTGCACACTCGTGCACAGCCCCCCACACCTACTCACCCACATTCACATCCCACTCACACCTTCCCACACGCACACAGGCAGCCCAGCCCGGTTCCTCTCTTCTCTCTGCGACTTCCGCTCCCAGACCCACCGTTTCTCTGACTGAAGCCCCGGAGCCCAAAAGGGAGAGGGAGACCCTCACGTTCTGTGATTCGGCGTCTCCCTCAGCACATTTGGGGATCCAAGGCTCCAGCCAGCGGTGTCCCCGCCTTTCCCCAGTGCCTTCGGGGACCAGGAGAGGGCGCCTGCTCTCTGGGCAAAGCCTATCCCAACAGCCCGAGTGGTTTTCACAACTGGCTGGCCAGGAGCTTTCAGACCTTCCTGAGTGTGTGTCTGCGCGTGTGTGAGCTGTGCACGTGGAAGTGTGTTTTGAGTGACAGACAAGGTCCTTGCCCTTCTGAAGGTCTCAGTCAAGGGAGGGGAGACGGGCAAGCGAGGAAACCATCACATGATCGCGTTATTCTCACTTGGTTGCGAGTGCCAGGAGACACAGTGGGAGGGGCCTGGAAGTGGCTTCTTTGGACAGCTGGCCAGGGAGGCCCCCCCAAAGAGGGACATTTCAGCTGAGTCCTAACTGCTGCAGCAAGGTCTGGCAGGAAGGGTCGTAGGCAGGGGAACAGAGTGCAGGTCACTTAACATCTGCTGTGCGCTGACTTTGACCCGCAAGGGCCATGAGAGGGCAAGCCGGAGGCAGTGGGACCAGGGTGGTATTGGGGCCGAATCACTGGGCACAGGAGACCACGGTTAACGTTTTGAATTTTACCCTCCTGGCAAAGGGCAGCTGTTGAGTCCTCACAGCAAACCCTATGAGACAGGAACTACCCTCATTTTACAGATGTAGAAGAGGAGGCTCAGAGAGGTCCAGTGACCCACCCAAAGTCACACAGCTCATAAGTGGTGGAGTCCGGAATGGAACTGACATCTGACTGCTGGGTTGTTTATAAAGGTCTGCATGGGCGCCCCCTCCCCCCTCAGGCATAAAATCAAGGTCACTGGGCCACGGGGACCTCAGTTCCACCCCAAGCCTGCTGAAGCTACCAGTCTTCCTTAAGGAGAATGGCCGCCGGGGCCAGCTTCCTTTTCAAGGACCCAACTCCCCAGCCCAGAGCTGTGTGGCCTGAGAAGGTGTTTAAAGTTTCACAGGCATCTTGATTGCCCAGCGATAGTGAAGGGCCCTACTCGCCAGCAAAGGATCTATTTCCCCAGCTCGGCACTCTGCACCCCCCTCATTGCCCTCTCCCCAGCAGGCCCCGGGCAGGCCAGCTCCCCAGCCTGCCACCGTGCTGGCCTGGTGCAAGCCGCCTCCCCCACCCGGTCAGGTTTCTCCCTTTCGCAGCAGTTTGCAAGATGAGCCTGCTCTGCCTGTCAGCTTAGACTGGCCCTCCTCGGAGACAGCGTCCCAGCCCCCAGCCCACCCCAGCTTGGCTCAATCGCGAAAGAGAACCCCAGTGAGAAGAATATAACCGTAAGCACCCAATCAGTGTGTCTCCCAGCCAGCAATGACTCATTTTATTAACCGCAGCAGGTGTCTCCATTACCTCCATTTTACAGATGAGGAAACCGAGGCTCAGGGAAGTGCAGGGGCCTGTCCAGGGTCATAAACCCAGTGTGGTTCCAGAGTGGCATGGGTGGTGTGTGCGCACGCATACACGTGTTTTTGTCTGTGTGTGTATGCATATGCATAGGTGTGTGTACATATGTACGTATAGCACATGCTTTTGCATTAACATGGAATACCCACACAAAAAGGGTACAAATCATAAGTGTACAGTTTGGAGATTTTTCACAAACTAGACACCCATGTGACCAGCACCCAGGTCCAAAACAGAACATTGTAGCTTCCCAGAAAGCCCCTCCCACATCCCCTCACCTCACTCACTACCCATCTCCCAAGGGTCTTAGGAGCAAAGATCTGTTCTCAAGTTTGCTACAAAGAAAATCATATAGTAGGAGTATTTGTATGCTGCTGCTTTCACTCGGCATTATGTTCTTGAGATTCTTCTGTGGGCTGTGTAGCAGCAGATCATTCTTTTTCATGGCTGCATAGTATTCCACAGGGGTTGTGCATTCTTCCATTCACTGAGCCATTCTGTAGCTAATGGGCATTTGCATTGTTTCCCGTTTGGAAACATACTTTTTTTTTTTTTTGCAGTAAAATAGACATGATGAAAATTTATCATTTTAACCATTTTTAATAGACTTTTTTTTTTTTAGAGCAGTTTTAGGTTCACAGCAAAATTGAGCAGAAAGAAATTTCCCATATACTCTCTGCTCCCCCCGCCCCATACATATACATCCCCCACTATCAACTCCCTGAACCAGGGTGGACATTGGTTACAGTCAATGAAAGCCCATTGGCAACATCCTCACCCAAAGTCCATAGTATACAGCAGGGTTCCCTCTTGGAGTTTTATAGTCTCAGGTTTGTGACCCTGTATAATGAGGTGTGGCCACCATAGCAGTATCATACAGCATTGTTTCACTGCCCTAAAAATCCTCTCTCCTAAATAATAAATTTAATTTTAAAAATTCCTCTGTGCCCTGTCTATTCGCCACTCCCCTCCTCCTAACACCTTTTTACTGTCTCCATCGTTTGTAGCCCTTTCAGGCTGGCTTCTTTCACTTGGGAAATAAGCATTTGAGGTTCATTCATGTATTTTCCTGGCTTGACGGCTCATTTCTTTTTAGCGGTGAATAACGTTCCACTATCTGGATGGACCCCAGTTTGTCTGTTCACCTGCTTTCTTCACGATTTGCTTAAAAAAAAAAATACCTTTGCTCCATTGTATTGCCTTTGGTTCTTTGTCAAAGATCAGTTGACTATTTTTATGTGGGTCTATTTCTGGGCTCTCTGTTCTGAACTTTTAGATAATCTATCCAAGATAGGCTCTTCAGGTGCAGTCATATATTTGCTTTTGTTTTTGCACAAACAGTAACACACTTCAACTGTATTCTGTCCTTTTTAAAATATTTTTTGAGAGAGAGGAAAGGAGAGAGAGAAAAAACACACACATTGATTTCTTCTTCCACTCATGCATTCATTGGTTGATTCTTGTATGTGCCCTGACCAGGAATCGAACCTGCAACCTTGGTGTATCAGTTGGTGATGCTCTAACCAACTGAGGTACCCAGCCAGGGCTCTGTCCCTTGTTTTGACTCAGTACATTTAGGTCATTCCATACCTTTACGTAACTGTGTATTGGGAGGCTCATAGATTTGTCTCCACTGCTGTGCAGTGTTCCGTTGAGCGGTGCTGTGTAATTATTCGGCCAGTTCCCGATGGTATGGGAGGATATTTAGGTTACTTCCAGACTTTGCTACTCCAGTAACTGTCCACAAGCCAGTATCTTTGCTCCCCTCTCCAAGTCTATCTATAGAAGAAATTCCTACTGGGTTAAAAAAAAAAAAGTGCGTTTAAAATTCTGAACTTCTCCAAATTCCCCTTGAAAGAGGCTTTCCCATGTGACTAGCAGAGGCTGTTTTATTTTTTAAAATATATTTTTATTAATTTCAAAGAGGAAGGGAGAGTGAGATAGGAACATCAATAATCCTCGACCTCCTGGGTCACAGGTCGATGCTCAACCCTGAACCTGTGGGCTCAATCCCAGTGTGGGGTGTGCAGGACCATTGATCTGCCTATTT